GGCACAGTCCTTCTTTGCCAAGGTGGTTTCTGCCAAGCTGGTTTTTGTCTCTATCACCATAATGTAGTGTTAACAATACCATAGTGGCAAGGCCTAATCTACCAAATCTTGAATGAAACCTCAAAGGGAGAAGGGGCATGCAGAGATGTTCCAATAAGCTTGTAAACAGATTCAAAATTCAAATCATGAGACTAGATAAATGGCTCGGTGGGCAGAGTGACTAATATACAAACATGAAGACCTGAGTTGTTCAGATACTAGCCCCTGGGTAAAAGCTGGGGATGTGTCTGTAACCCCAGTACAAGGTGGAGTGTAGGGATGCAGAGACATAACAAAATGGGGAGCCATAGAAGATACCCCATGTCCACCTCTGGCCTCCACACAAGGGGTGCACACAACCATACACACAGATGTACACAGACCACCAAGAACCCTCCCTCACACAAATAAATTTTTTAAAGATTTTAAATCACATAGAATTTCATGTTTCATAACAATATCAGAATCTGAGAAATATAAGACAAAGGGGCCAGGCATGGTGGTGCAATCCTTTTAACACAGGACTGAGAGGCAGACACAGGCGGATCTCTGTGAGTTTGAGTCTACCCTGCTCTACACAGGGAGTTCCAGGATAGCCAAGGCTATGTAGAGACTCTGTTACAAAAAAAGAAAGACAAAGAGAAGGAAAGAAAATAGACAATAACAACTACTTTAGGGAGCATTTAATACAAGCTGGGACAGGGGCAAGAGAGATGGCTCAGTGGTTAGGAGCACTGGCTGCTCTTTAAGAGGACCTGGGTTCAATTCCCAGCACCCACAAGGCAGCTCACAACTGTCTGTAACTCCAGTTCCAGGGGATCCGACATCCCCACACAGACATACATGCAGACAAAACACCAATACATATTAAAAAACAGAACAAAACCCAAATGCACAGAATGTGTCCACAATGGCAAATCTATTAAGTGGTAAAGACAAAGTTAGTCAGTCTAATCCCAAATTTCTTATTTTTAAAACTCTCTCCACTCATATCAAATATAGTATAACCATGTTGAGACTCTTTTTTTAAAGATTCTATTTTTATTTGTGTGCATACACACAGAGACCAAAATAAGGTATCAGATCCCCTGTAGGTGGAGTTACAAGCAGTTGTGAGCTATGAAACATGGGTTCTGGGAATTGAACCTAGGTCCCCTGGAATAATAGTAAGTGCTCTGAACTGCTGAGCCATCTCTCCAGTTGCTGAAAATTTCTAATGTAAGACTAGACTAGAGACGAGCTCAAAGTTACTAAAACAAATGATTAACTGTGAGAGTACTAACTCCTACAAATAATCAGATACGAAATTTTTAAAGCTTGCCAAAACATCTTTAAGATGATAAAATTCTTGAATTCCAACCTGTACGGTGAACATGTCCCCAAGGCAGTTTTTTGTTATTTTACCATAAAGGAGAGCAAGGGGCCAGTGAGACAGCGCAAAGGGTAAAGGAACCTGGCAGCCTAAGTCCAGTCCCCAGAACCAACATGGCAGAGGGGAAGAAGACTCCTAAAAGCTGCTCTCTCATCTTCTGTCTCAACTCTTCAAACAAAACAAGGTAGTTTCCCTTACCTGTCATCATACAAAACCTCAAAATGTATCAGACACTTAGATGTAACAGCTGCAGTAACCATACTTAAAGAAAATAGCAAGCCCCCACCATTTGGGAAGCAGAGGCAGGCGGATCTCTGTGAGTTCAGGGCCAGCCTGGTCTACAGAGTGAGTTCCAGGACAGGATCCAAAGCTACACAGAGAAACCCTGTCTTGAAAAAAAACAAAAAAATAACAAAAAGTCTCTATGATGTTGGGTAAAGATGTCTTAGGTGTATATACACCAAAAGCAAAATCAATATAAAAAGAAACTTCACTAAAATGTAAAACTTTTAGTCAAGTGTGGTGGCTCAAGCCTATAATCGCAGCCCTCAGGAGGCAGAAACAGAAGAATTACCTCAAGTTCCAAGCCAGCTAGAACTACATAGCTAGACCATGTCTTAAAATAAATTAATAAAAAAAAATTTAATCAAAATTTCTCTTAGAGCCAGGTGGTGGCACATCTTTAATCCCAGCACTTGGGGAGGCAGAAGCATAACGATCTCTGTGAATTTGAGGCCAGCCTGGTCTACACAGGGAGTTCCAGGACAGTCAGAGCTACATGGTGATATCCTATCTCAGGAAAAAAAGAGAAAGAGAGAGAGAGAGAGAGAGAGAGAGAGAGAGAGAGAAAGAGAGAAAGAGGGAGGGAGGGAGCCAGGGAGCCAGGCAGGCAGGCAGATAGACAGACAGACAGAGAAAAGTGCCACCAATCCAAGACCAGCCTGGGCTCCCAAGGAGAGCCTTTTCTCAAAAAAGTACCAAAGTACAACCCAAGTAAGAGAATTAAAGATATGTGTGTGAAAGTCTAATAAGCAAGCACATTAGGCCTTGGAGAAATGCAGTAAGATACCACTGCAAATCTACTAGAATAGCTATAACCAAAGAGACAGGGCTAGCCATGTAGTTCAGCAGCAAGCACAAGTTTAGCATGTGAGAGGCCCTGGGCTCGCTCCCTTAAACACACAAGTGCATTCACATATACAAAAAAGACCAACTGCAAATTGCTAAGTTGTATAGAAATGGGAATTCTCACATGATCTAGTAGAATGTAAAATGGTATGAGTACTTTGACAAACCATTTTGGCAGTTTACAGACAGAAACTTACCATTATGACCTTGCGATTCTACTGAGTTGGTACAAAAAAAAAAAAAAACATTTTCCAAGAAGACTTGATATGAATACTAATAGCTTTATTCCCAACAGCCACGGAACAGAAACAAGCCAATGCCCATCAACTGGTGTCCAATAAAAAGGAACTACGTATAACCGTTACTTCATGCTATGGGACATGGGTGAACCTCAGCAAACACCAAGGAATTCACATTATATGACTATTCTCATATGAAATGTCCAGACAGAAAATAAAGTTTGGGTTGCCTGGGGCTGGGGTGGAACGGGGAGTTACTGCAAATGGATGTGAGGCATCATTCTGGAATGAGAGAAATGTTCTAAAACCGGATTGTGGTGATGACTGAACAACTCTGCAAATTCACTAAAATATTACTAACTGGATACTTTAATCAAGTTTATTTCATGGGATGTAAATTATACTTGCACAAACATTTTTAGGAAAGTAAAAACAGTGTGCTGTGTGACAGAAGCCAGACAGCAAACGTCACATTATTATATTATTATATGATCCATAAAAGACAAACCTATAGACAAAAATAAACTTGTGGTTGCATGGACTGGGGGCAGGAAGTACAAAGGAATCTCATAGGGATGATGGGAATAGTCTAAACTGGATGATGTGATGGTTTAAAGGAAACTTACCCCCAAAAAGAAATCACTAAATAAAAAGACTGAAATTCATGGTATTAAATCATACTTAATACAGTTTATTTTAAGCTTTATTTTAATTTTTATCTATGTGTATATGTTCGTATCTGTGTTTTCAAATGTTATGTATATGCGGGTGCCTGAGGCCAGAAGAGGTCATCAGATCTCCTGGAGTTTCTATTTCAGGCAGCTGGGAGCACCTGACACAGGTGCCAGGCCCCAAACTCAGGTCCTCTGGAGAGCAGTAAGCACTCCTAACCACCGAGCCATCTGTCTCCCCAGAGATGACCAAATCACACTGGTATTCTTAACCTCTGATGAACCTTGGATCACTTTGTGACCAGAGTGAGAATCCACTCTTAGAAAACTAACAGACTCCCTTCTTATTGCCCACTCAGACATCCCGTTCTATAGTTCTGACTATACAAAATTAATGTCACTAAATCTCTACAGCCCTTGCAACTCTCAAAGTTTGTAGCTGAACAACGAAAGCATCAAGAATGACTCCAACCACTCCTACAGTTAGTTAGGCTGTGGAGAACTAGGAAGGATGTACACCCCACCAGAAAGAAATGCAATGTTATTCTTCCAGAACAATACTAGGGACTCTTTTTATTTTTCTGACATCATTCTGGAATCTCCCATTTAAACCCTTCCTTCAACATGAAATTTAAGGTACCAAGCAAGAGAGATGTAGCTAGCTCAACCAGTATGTGTTAAAGACCCAACACGCAGCAAGGACAGACCTATGGAGTGACTTAAGACCAGACATCCTTTATGCACTGTTACACTTCCATGAGGGGTGAGGGGTGCCAAACGATCAGGCTTGGCAGCAGTCTCCTTTACCCACGGAGCCATCTTACTGGCCAGCTGATGTCTTTTAGATAGAACTTAGCCCATGTTGTTGGAAAACAGGAAGCCAATAAAGTATAAAAATGAAATTTAGAGAAATGGAGGCAGGAGGGAAATGAGGTCAAGACCAGGCTCAGCTACACAGCCAACCTGCTGCCAGGTTGAGCTGCCTGGCAAGCTGAGTGTGGATCCCATGTAAAGCCTCAGGCCCAGTGATCCTGTAAAGAGACAGGAGGACTCTGGAGCCTTCCTACTAACCAGTCAGCCAAATGGTGAGTTCCAGGCCAACGAATGAGACGGATCGAACAGAAGATGGGAAGCAAACAAGGGAGTCTATCCTCCACTGCAAGGAATTTGGTGGGCTGCTTTTTTTTGGTTTTTCGAGACAGGGTTTCTCTGTGTAGTTTTGGTACCTGTCCTGGAACTCAAGAGATCCGCCTGCCTCTGCCTCCTGAGTGCTGGGATCAAAGGCGTACGCCAGGCAGTGCAATAAACCCTGGCACCTTTAAGGAAGCTATGGGATCTTAAGCCGGTCTCTTATAAAACTACTTTTAAGGCAGGATACTGGCAGTGTAGACAATCTTCCCACACTCAGGAGTCTGCTCATGTCAGCAGATGAAGTCTGCTTAAACCCATCCCCTTTTGATTTCTATGGTCACTGCGCTCCTGCTGTGTCACCGACTCTCCCCTAATCCCTGCCCCCTAAACAGCTCCTCAAGCACTATGCACCTTTGAGAATGAAAATCCATGATTGGTGTCAGCTAACTGGTATTCTCAGATCCTATTCAGGTACACTCAACACATGGTAACCAGGTTTAGGGATCACGCCATGGTTCCTGGTTGAACCCTCCAAGGACACTTAAAACTCCAAAATCTTTACATGGCTTCCAAGGTCCCCGAGATCTATGTATGCCCTCTTTCTGGTCCTAAAACTTATCGAGCACTTTCTCTCTCCTCAGAGTCTTCGTATTTCCTCACCCCTCAACGGGGGAAGGAGGGCGATCTTCCCTCAACTCACAACTCACTTCAGGGCTCAACTTAAAACAGGTCTTCACCTCAGAAAAAAATCTTCCTTGAAATCACCTGACTCGTCCAAACCATTCCTTCTTATAACTAATCTCGCTCCTCGCCTTCCAGACACCTCCCAAGATCCGCTACAGCTTTTTTCATTCTTTCTAGTCAACGTCGCCAGAGCCGGGTCTGTCCTGCTCAGCCCCGCCCCTGCAAACCAGCACTTCGTCTACACTTGAAGGAGTCGTCGCGCGGGTGCACGGATGGACCTAAGTGCCTGCGGCCCACGATCCCAGGGACACAGCTAGCTCTGCCCACGAACCCCAGTGCCGCCTCGACCAGGCCTGCCACCCATCCACGTGCCTTTCTGCACAGGACACATCTGTCTCAGGTACGCCTCTCCCTGCGGAGGGAGCCCCACCCCGGGCGCACGCCTCGCACCAGTGCCCTGCAAGGCTTGGGCCCACCGAGTCCCCGCGGGTCGCCCCTCGGCTCTCACCGATCACCTCCTGCAGCTCGTAGTCGTCCCTGTTGATGGACCAGGGCAGGGCGCTCGAGTCCTCAGACATGACGGCTGCAGCGCGGGGCACGGCGCTCCCTCACGCACCGGGCTCTCGGGTCAACTCGCCGCACGCCTCCCCACGCCCAGCCGCCGCCCCCCACCAGCCGCCTGGCCCAGCCTTGGAGCGCACGACGCCGGGGCGCGCGGGTCAAGCGCGGCCCCGAGGCGGGGACGCGCGGCTGCGGCCGACCTCGCCTCCTGCGGCTCCGCGTCCCGCAGTCCCTAGCCCGGCCCACGAGCCGGCCTCGGCCTCCGCGGCTCCGCGACACAAGCTTCTCCTCGGCCCTGCCCCTCCGTCCCGCCCTCCACCCGAACCCCAAGCACCGGCCAAACTTTCCCTTCTCCCTCCACCTGCCGGCACGTTACGCGCTGACGTCACCGCGCCGGGGAAGCCCCGCCCCGCCCCGCTGCCTCCAGCCGCCATCTTAGGTGTGGCCGGGCCAGCCGCGAGCGAGGGAGGAGGCGGAGAAGTGGAAGTTAATCGTCAGGGGGAGGAAGTGCTCGGGAAGGGGTTCACTGAGGGCGTCTGAAAGCCGAGAGAGCAAACTGCCTCTGCACGAGGAGCCACACTAAGCATGGCGGCCGCAGAGTGCCAAGCGGAGGGAGCGGAGCTTCCTGTAGCGGCTGAAGAACTTTGCGGGCTTCGCTCCTCACTTATTGGTTGGTTTGAGGAAGCACGAGAAGGGCAACTGGTGGGAGTGGACATCAGTCATACATCAGTCATACATTAGTCCCGCCTCCAGGACCTTGACTCGCGGTTCCGCCGGGGAGCTGAGACCTTTCGGGACGCTGTTCTCTGAGTGACGTCATGGCGTCACCGTCACACCGTCGCAACGTGCAAACCGCTCCCCAGGGTGTGGAGAAGCCCCAGGGAGCGGCTGGGTGTGGTTCGCGGACAGCAGCCAACTAGGATAAAAGGTCTTGCGGGCTCCGGTGTGGAACCGGAAGCTCGGCCCGTGATGACATTTTTTTTTTTCTTTCCCTAAGGCGGAAGTTCTCAGCGCCGCCTCCAGGATCCGGGCGGGAGCGAGCTGTGCCTTTTCTCAGCTTCGTGGCTGAAGAGCCAATGAGCACCTGCCTCGGGGACCTTGGTTAGATGACTCGGCCCAGACACCGCCTTGACTGTTAAGTGAGATTTTTGTCACGCGCCTTGGGGTCATTTCAAGGGCCCTGTCTTTTGTCATCCTCACAGTTCAGTTTTCTCGGCCTTAGAAGATCGCTTTTTGGTAAAATGGGAGGGGAAAAAAAGCCATAAAACATAAACCTGGATAGAGTCGATGCAGACATGTTCTCAGCCGAACACCTCTCAATGCAGGCCCTGCCGAGCAATAGAAACACTGCTTGAGCTCTCCAGAAGGAGGTCCACTGAGCACATCATCTGGCTGATAGGACTTATAGAACATCACAAGAAGAGTGGCCCGTGCAGGACTAAAGTGATTTCAGCAAACAAAAAATGGGATGACAGAATATCCCAGCCCAACAAAGTTACAAGGTCTGGCTGTCGAATTTGTTTCCGGCATTACCGGTGGCACATTTACTGCATGTGATAACTCTTACTCGAAGGAGAAGAGTGAAAGTAACATAAAGAGGAAGTGGGGAGGATTAGAATTCTCAAGGTTTGTAACTATAGAAAGATCAGTAAACCGAAAATAATCTGAAATTGTTGGGCTGTGTGGACCAAGGACAGACGTTACATTTTTCTTTTCATCACCTTGAAATTAAATATAGTTAATTCAGGGCTGCCTCTTCTTTTTCCCGTTCCACAAAGAAAAGGAACTAACTACCAATCTTGTGATGAAATTTCAAGATACTGGGTCTGTTATTGTTAGATGTCATCACTGTACATTCATTAATGTTTTCTTGTTTTCCTCCTCATACATGCGCCTTAGTGGATTAGTGGAGCCAAACTTGTTCTATAGATCTGGTCATTTTATTTCCCCGGTCCCCGACTTTCTCACTGTGGCCTGATAGAGGTTACAGTAGCATGATTTTAATGAGGAAGGAAGCAAGGAATTGAGGATTTGAGGCCACGAGGCCAAGCTTCAGCCTCTGGAGTTACCTTCCATGTGAGTACTGTCTTAACGGTGACCAGAGTGTGCTTAGTTCCTTTTTCTTTCTTTTTTTTCTTTTCTTTTTTTTTTTAATAATGGAGTATTCAGTTTTTGTAGTGAACAGTAGATAGCTTAAGTAAATTAATAAGTAAGCAATTATAAATCATAAAATGCAGGAAAGGTGTACTTTGATAGCAAATAGAGAGCCCAACTACATAAAGTGTGCTTTAAGTAAGGTAGTTTAAGTATTTCTGAGACTATTAATAAAATTACGGTTTTACTGCACTTCTGCTTATGGCTCTCTCAAGGTCTGGAACCTTGACCCTTCTATCACAGATTCCCCACAGCCCACCCTGGTTTCTCAAGAGTATGGCATATTTTCCTTGGGAGGAGAACCTTGTTTTTCCCACATTCTCAAAGCCATGCCTCTGTTACTTTAGATCCCTTCCTCCCAAATCAGGCTCTGAGACAGAATTTGAGTTTATTTAGGGGTGACCTCAAGAGGCACTCTGAAAAATGGAAGAGCTGAGAAAAGGGGAGCGGGCTTAGTGTGTGGTGATGGGCTTAATTCTGCTGAGTACAACCGTAGAGACTACAGAACACAGCCAGGTGGTGGGGGCGCACGCCTTTAATCCCAGCACTTGGAGGCCAGCCTGGTCTACAGAGTGAGTTCCAGGACAGCCAAAGATGAGAGAGAAAGAGAGACAGAGACAGAGAGAGACAGAGAGCAGAGACAAGGAAGTGGCTCACTGGTAGAGTTCTTACTAGCCTAGCATTCATGAAGGCCAGTCCACAGGAGCATAGGCAGGAGGTGAAAAGAAAGGTGAGCTATTAACCAGGGACATCTTAGTCCTTACAGTGTCACCTCTCCTGTACCCCTCCCCAGCTCAGTGTCTGGCAGAGCATGCTTGTAGGATCAGAGAGAGCACACAGACAGTCACAGATGGGTTTCATGTGCCGACTCTCAGAAGGTGAATTTTGCAACAGGCCCAAACACTATGACCAGTGTGTGCAAAACCTCTACCACCATGTATCACTGGACTGAGAAATCAGATGTGAAAGCATAGTCATGCTGTCTCACTTAAGCAGCTGCCTGACTTGAGTTTTGCCATTAGCACCTTTAGGATAGAGAGGAAAAGACATTTCAGGACTAGTGATGTCTTGGGTAATCATTAGCAGGTAATTATGTAGTTACAGTAATTCAGGTTTTATAGACTTTTTAAATAAAAGACACTGCTTTTGAAGTTTATAAATTAGTGGGTACCCACTGTGAGGAACCTGAATTTTTTTCCTTCTTCCTTGGCAGGATGAAAGATTGAACCTAGGCATTCACACAGCCTAAGCAAGGGCTGAACCGCTGAGCTACAACCCTGTTGTGGAATATTCCTTTACACTGGGTGAAGATGTGTCACTGTGATTGGTTTAATAAAAAACTAAATGGCCAATAGCTAGGCAGGAGGTATAGACAGGACTGCTGAGCAGAGAGCATTCTGGGAAGAAGAAAGAGGGAGTCATCAGGCAAACACAGAGGAAACAAGATGGACAGTACAGGGTAAAGGTAACTGAGCCACATAAAAGAGTATAGCTTTAAAAAATATGGGTTAATTTAAGTTTTAAGGACTAGTTAAGGGGCTGGAGAGATGGCTCAGCAGTTAAGAGCACTGGCTGCTCTTCCAGAGGTCCTGAACTTAATTCCCAGCAACCACATGGTGGCTCACAACCATCTCTAGTGGGATTGATGCCCTCTCCTGGCATGAAGTTGTACATGCAGACAGATCACTCATATACATAAAAAAGTTTTAATAAATACTAGTTAGGAACAAGTCTAAACTAAGGCCAAGCATTCATACTTAATAATAAGTCTCCATGTCATGATTTGGGGACTGGCGGTCCAAAAAAGCCTGTTACATAGCCCCACCCCTCTGGAAAAAATTTTTTTTTGGTTTTTTGAGACAGGGTTTCTCTGTGTAGCTTTGCGCCTTTCCTGGAACTCACACTGTAGCCTAAACTGGCCTTGAACTCACAGAGATCCGCCTGTCTCTGCCTCCCAAGTGCTGGGATTAAAGGCGTACACCACCACCACCACCACCACCACCCAGCCTGAATATATTTTTAAAAGCACAATTTTATGTCTCAGTCATGAGCTATTTTTCTCAATTTGCTATCAGGATCAGGGCCAATTACAGACTGCTGGAATCCAGCCCTTTCATGGAGTCCTTATTACATGTCACATGAAATTTAATGTCATTCTTTGCTACAAGAAGGGACAATAACCATGTTGTGGGGCTGACGATCCGAAACAACCCAACCAGACACAAGCGGTCACACAAAGCAAGATTTATCACTGGGCAGCATGGCAGAAACTGACCAATCAGGGACAACAGTATAGACTCGGGAGCTGACTGCGTCCCCAGATGTTCATGTCAGCAAGTATTTAAGCACAAAACCCACAAACATCTGTGCCAAGTTAGTTACATTTTCCACCAATCAGGATTTAAAGATTAGGGGCTTTCCCTATGCATTACATCTTTGTCAATCAACACAAAATGTAAGCTTTTCAATCTATCCAAATAGGTTCATTTGTTCTTTCTGTTATTAGGAACAGCTATATGTTTTAGAGAACTAAAGATGCATAATGGACTGTTTCTATTGTTTAAGGAGGAGGTTGGTCAGCTATTGGGAAGTCCCCAGCTCCCCCAGGGCCTGGGAACTTGAACTTTGCTTCACCCTACAGGTAAAATAGAGTCTGAAGTCAAAATGACAGTACTTAGGACACGCGCTTTTGCCTGTTCCCAACAACCATACCACACATAGGTGTATTTTCTGCTTTGTGTTTGTCATAATACCCTGCAGAGGCAAATGGAAGGTCAGAGTGTTTGATTAACTCCATGAACTGTGATTGTAGAGGAATGTCCTTAAGCTAGGAAAAGGGAGCCCAGTGAGAAACTGCCATCTCGGTGAGTCCAGAGCATGCATGTCCAAAGTGACAGACACTTAGGGCGTACAAGGTAGGTGTAAAGGTGATTATAGGAGAGAAATAGTCCATGCCCAAAGTGGAGTCTCAGCATCAAACTGGGCTCTGAGCTAGAGAGGAGGGTCAGGTTCTTCCAAGCTTGCACCATATCAGCTTAATGAGTTCAGGCTAATTGAGCACAAAATGAGGACTGCTTAGTCGAGTGGCAGGTGACTGGGTGTCAACATTTCAAACAGTATCTGGTACAGATTTATCGAGTCTTAAAGCCAACTTAGCTTATTCCTCCTTGGTGCCGCTCCCACTTTCAGAAATTCATCTCACTTTTCCTTAACCTATATTCATTCTGCTCGAAAAAAAAAATAAATATAAAAACCTACTTCAAAATTGGGCATGGTGACAGATTCTTGTAATCACAGAACTTGGGAAATGGAGGCAAGAGTGTAAGGCCACCCTCCACTATATAAGTGAATTCCTGCTCAACCCTGGCTACATGAGACCATCTCAACAGATAAATAATAAAACAAATCTCATTACGATGTTCACTGTAGCATCATTCCCATAGCCTCTGCTTCTCTTCCTGCCTCTATGAGATTCCTGTCTTGAGTTCCTGCCTTGGCTTCCCTGTATAACAGACTGTACTCTATAAGCCAAAGAAACCATCTCCTCCCCAAGTCGCTTTCTATTTTTTTTATCACAGCAGCATATAGCAAGTTCCAGGACAGCCTGGGCTGCATGAGATACTGACTTTAAATATCTATATCTATATACATGTAGAGATATAGAGATAGATAGATAGATAGATAGATAGATAGATAGATAGATAGATATAATTTCACGTTTCTTCAAATAAACAGTTTTAAATGAGACTACTAAATGCTGGCCAAAATGAAGGACAACAGAAACTCTCATCCTCAGCAAATTGGAATGTGAGTTGATGGAAGATCTTTGGAAAATAGTTTGATATGACCTGGAAAAGTAAAAAATATGCTTCTAGGCCGGGCGGTGGTGGCGCATGCCTTTAATCCCAGCACTCGGGAGGCAGAGGCAGGCGGATCTCTGTGAGTTCGAGGCCACCCTGGTCTCCAAAACGAGTTCCAGGAAAAGGCGCAAAGCTACACAGAGAAACCCTGTCTCAAAAAACCAAAAAAAAAAAAAAAAAAAAAAAAAAAAAATGCTTCTGCTATAACCCCCAAACTCCACTGTATGATCTACATCCAAGATAAACTCTTATGCATATATTTTAAGCAACATACCACAGCAGCATTTTAAAGAATGGGGAAGTAAAGGAAACCACACAAGTAAAATGTGAAAATATTTAAATAGTAGGTACTATATACTACAGCCGTATAAAAATAGCTTAAAGGACTCTCAATGAAGGCAGAAAGTAGCAGGATTGGGATGACATTCAGTGGTGGAACAAGAATGCTTACAACTCCCAGTACCACAAAATAAACAAGCAAACAGAGGAACCTAGGCATGGTGGCACAGCCCTCTAATCCCTGAACTGGAGAGGTAGAGGAGGGACAATCAAGTTCAAGGCTAAGACTCTGTCTTAAACAAAATGCAGCCATGCATGGTCGCATACAGCTTTTGTCCCAGAACTCAGGAGGCAGGGGTAGATGGATCTCTGTTCAAGGCCAGCCTGGTCTACAAAGCAAATTCCAGGACAGCCAGGGCTACACAGAGAAACCCTGTCTCAAAAAGTGAAGGT